TTGTGAAATATTATAATGCCTTAACGAATATTACTGTTGAAACGTCATTCCCAAAGCAGTGGCGGAATTTACAGACGGAGAGTCCAGAACACGTTATATTTTCATTGCGGATTTTTTGGGCTCAGTACGGACTCCAAAAGTATGCATTTTCTTTTAGTTTTAAGGCATATGCGGATTTTATAAGTCCGCAATGACGATATAACGTGTTTCAGACTCCCTCCAGCCCCAACATACTGTAGGAAACGTTTTGTCTTTTGCACCTCTAGATGGTGGAAAATGGCATTCTAAGATTTAATTTAGATTGTAATTTTATTTTTAATCTCCATATTTATTTTACAAACAAACATTTAACAATGGGTAATCTGGCAAAATACGAAGTTGAATATCTAAACATTGATTATGATACTTTTTAGATACAGAAGCAATAATGATAACTTGCCCAACCAATGTTACATCGAACAACTACGTTGGTTTTACAAGTGGAATTATTCAAGTTAGAACCGACCACGAAGCAAATGTGGCCACTGTTACCTGGGACCCTCCCATTGTAACTGAAAACGTTAGCCGTTTCAACGTGACGTCATCGCCGTATAAATCAGGAGACGAAATACCAATTTCGACAATTCATGTAATCACATTTACAGCCACAGAGTCATCAGGAGACACAGATACTTGTAATTTTGTGATATCTGTTATCGGTAATTTTATTACATTTATTCTTTACGATAAATCTGTACGCACTTTTGATTTTACAAAACACAGGCATGTGCACGGTTGTTTTTGAAGCCCTGTTTACAAGAGTTTCCCATTGGTGAAATCGGTCCCCCGGGGAACACATTATGGATAGGGCTCAGGGAGAAGAATTTATACGGGCCCAAATCCCCGTGACGCCATAACCAAGATTCCCTTAGGTATGATGATCCAGTTACAATTCTATAATAAAATAATAAAAGAAGAACTTACAAAGCGATTGAAAAGATATGGATGAGGTTTTTTTTATCATCTTCATAGCTGCTGCAATTCGTTTTTTTGTTTTTTTGTTTTTTTGATTGGTCTATTTGTATCGTGATATGTTTACCAATGGTCTTTCGATCAATTATTTCTGTAGATATTGAGGATCCAATTTGTACCATCGAACCGCCATCGTATATGGGCTCTGTAGAAATGGGGCAACAGAATTCGACAATCAACTACATCATCACTGTTAGAGATAATGTCCAAGTCAGCAGTATTAAGACAGATTGCAGTTTTATTGATATTGGAAATAGTGGTCAGGAGTATATTGTTGACAGAGCCATAGAAGAAATCGACAGTACAGGAACTTTCCCTATTGGCGAGACTATGGTTCTGTTTTCGGTTGTAGACAATGCGAGTCCGAATGGAAATGAAGGAACCTGTTCATTTGGTGTCACAATAAGCGGTTAGTATAGCTAAAACATGGAGGTATAAAATTAGATTTTATACTGCCATATAAAGCTTCACAGAAATATAAGGGCTGTAATAAACCAAACCATGGATTTTGAAAAGAAATTTCGTTGGATATACTATTAT